AAAATTGAATTTGTTGAAATTCCTTCAAGGGAAGGAGCTATATAATGATAAAATACAATTTCCTTAAAATGAGAAGTTAGATAGTGTGAGCTTTGGCATCATGTACATATCATAAATGAGAAAGAACAGAGTGACAGAAGTGCTCTTGCCACGGTGACATGCTGCTAGGACTCCTTAGATGAAGGTCAAAAAGCCATCATTAGCTTGCTTCAGGCTAAACTCCATCAGCTGAGTTTTGAAGAGAGGCAAAATGATTCCATAATAGCTCAGCTGGGCACAAGTGCTGATGGTGATGAGGTGGCAAGCACAAGGGAGCAAGAAACCATTTTTTTTTTGTTTCTCTTTGCAATAGTAAAGCTTAGCATGTTTATAAAGAGAATTTTCAGGAGACCATCAATCAACCATCACAAAGAGCGAACCGTCAATATTTTGTAGAAGATTCTTGGTTTGTTAACAAAGAAGAGCATGTACTGTGAGTTGCAGTTTTTGTATCCGAATGCGACAGCCATCTCCACAGATAAGTGACCTGACAGGTGCATAACCAAAGTCATGGAGAATTCAAGTTATTCGAAACTGCATTTTTAAAGTTCTTTCTATCTTGTAAGTTTAGGCAACTAGCTGTATTCAGAGAGAGGTCTGAAGTTTTTTCTAGGGCAGTAGCATAACAAGATTCAAAAGGATGAGCCTTGTTTAAAGATAGGTTGGAATAGTGCACTGTTTGTAAGGATTTTGTTTGTCAGCTTAAAAATAGGACATAAGGAACAAAGTATGCTCTTAAAAAGGAGCTCTGACATGTATTTTGAAGCCATTGCCATTTATTTGGACAAGGCAGTTCAGAAGTTACTCAGAGAAAAATGAGATTTCATTCCACCTGTTGGTGATCGTACCCTGAGGCTCACAGTTTCATGAACCAGATGTTGTGTGGTGGTGCCACTGTGCTGCAGACAAAGGGCTGTCTGAATGGCTTATTTCAGGAAACGTGATCAATATGATTGATTCATGATTATTGAGACCTTAGCATGTACATGCTTTTTGTTTTTAAGTTACAGCTCCTTTGTCAAGTCTGGGAAATAAATAGACTCAGATCCTTCAGTGCCTCATTCCCAAAGGATGCAAAAAGGACTGTCACATTTTGGGAGCAGACTTTCTTTTCTGAGCCTTTCTAATCAGCTTCTCTCTGTTTGGGGCCACAGCTGCTGGCCTCTTTTTGCCTCCTAACAGCTACAGCAATGTCAAGGGAGGCAGAGAAGTACCTCTTCTCCCTGACTCCAGGAGTAGAAAATCACTTTCTTGCCAGGCAAAGTGCACTCCGACCTGATCGCAGCAACCTGCAGACCTGGTGCCTTTGGTTTGCTTCAGACAGCACTATGTTTGTGTGAAAGCTTTGATCATCTTCACTGTTTTCATTTAACTAGGCGGTCAGAAAGCAAGTGGCTTATTCAAAAATTTCAGGTACAGCTAAGCACAATAATTGCATGTTTTGGCCCTGTAAATGTATTTGAATTATTTTGAATTAAATCAGCTAAACCACCAGGACAACTAGTTATGAGCTGCGTAAATACATTTTTTGTTCTGTGTGCTACAGGTTATGCAGGGAGTTTAGCTGAAATCCAGTGTAGTAGTTAGGAGCCTCAGGTGTCTCGGATTAATCACACAGTCTCATCAATGCCACCAATTTCTCCTCTTGTTGCTTGCCAATTTGTAAAATATACTGGAAGAAATGAAGTGCTTTGATCTATTTACTTATATGGAATGATTTCAAATAGAGATCACTTCTTACCACGTGTCCTGGAAACACTTTTGAAAACTCCCTTGCTATCCTGCAGATGAGCAAACAGTATGTGATATTCCAAGAGGATGGCATTACAGCAGATAACACGGGATGTAGTTAAATAAAAGATGGCAGTTTTCCATATGTTACCTTTCTAGAGGTAATCTAATTAGATAAGAATTAATTATGGATATGCAGGTTATGTGTTGCATCCATTGCTGTGACTGCATAACCCAGTCTCTCACACTGCCAGAAGGAGCTGAGCAGTTGTTAGACTGTGTTGTCTAAGAATGAACTCCTAGGGAAATGGAGAGGAAATACGTCTTGCAAATGAATTCTACTTACATATAGTATTAACTGTCAACATGGTCTACCAATGAAGAAAAAGAAAATTGAAAACCAACTCACAAGAATAATACAAAGGGACTTTAACAGTAAAGAGGCTTGTTAGATACTGAGAAAACTGAAGGAAACCATGAGTTAGCTGAATTAATCACGTTTTAAATGAAAAATAATTTAAAAAGCCAATATGAGCTGTCCCCAGCAAACTGATTTGTTAAAAATATTTTAAATCATTCAGTTTCTTCACTTTTGTCTGCGTTATTTCTTCCTTTCATTCCTGCAACATTTTCCCCTGTGCCTGTGAGGATCACAGTAGCTGCCTTCTGCAGAACAGCAATCTCATTTTGTTTACCTTGTGTTTCAAAGAGAATTGAACAAGCCCAGGATTCGCCTTCTCTAAACAAATACTGGCAAGACAAAGGTATCGCAGCTATTCTTGGGACAAAGGGTTTGTCGAGATGGAGAACGGTAAAGACTGGAGAGAAAAGAAGAGTCGATGTGTTTTTATCTGGAGAAAAGTTAATCCTTTTCACAGCCTCATTTTCTTTGCTTTAGAGATAGCTCTCCTTTTTCATTTAAGTTTTAGAGTTTTTCATCCAAAGGAAGTGAGAAGCCAAGGTGTTTTCTTTGTTCCTGTCAAGTAGCTTGAACAGTTTGAGAGCAGAAACCAGTCAGAGCAGTGTGATTAGCTTAGCCAATTAGGGTGGATTTGCATATTCACAACAGAGCTATCGAGAAATAATTCTGCAGAGATAATGCGAGCGTGGCAATGCCTGTCTGCCAGTCAGTGCATCCTGGCTCCTGTGCTGTGCGGTAATTGAGAAATAAACACGGAGTGAGTCTGAGATTGGGCACCCACAGCCAATCCACGTGCTGGCAATGTGCAGCTTGGGAGGGAAGTGTATTCACAAGGCAGAAGCTTTATGACACCCTTGCACGCCGGAAAAGGTTAATCTACAATCCATTTACATAAAATGCAGCAGCATCTGTCAAATGAGTTGGTTCTTCAAGACTCTTTCCAGCTACAACTTGTGCTAGCTACTACTGTGACTCAAACCTCGTCAGGAGTTTTAGGCTACACACCTTTTTATGAGATGGCAGATGACCGAGGCCTGAATGCTCTGCTGCTCTCTGCCCTTAAGCTCAGCCAGGTGCACAGCACAAGGGGAGGTGAGCTCTGTGCAGCAGCCCAAAGGGCAAGCCATAAAACTGCACTCTTCTGTCCCAGCAGGTCTTGCAGCAGCAGGGTGTTATCCAAGGAGCTGGCAACAAAGCAAACAGTCCTTCAGGAAACCTTGTAGATAACAGACCAGGGTGGATGATCGTTGCAGCTTTATTATCTCAGAAAGTGAAAAATCACCTTATATGCTATAGCAACGACAGTCTGTGCTACATTTCCATGTTCCTGCTGGCACTGCTGCTTGGTGTCTCTACCAGTAACTGCAGGTGAACATGGCTGTGGCCTGCACCTTCTGAATGCTCTGTTTATTTATTAAGAGGCTGACGAGTTGCTGTCTGCTGTGTGCAGCTGCCACATATGCTGATTTTAGAAAGATACACGGTGATGCCTGTCCTTAATTCTCCTGACTGATATTGGGGGCTGAAATTGCAGAGTCCAACTGCAACAGATCAGGTTAGGAGAGGCACAGTAGGGCCTTCACCCAGGTACAACTACACAGGCTGCATGCACTTCCAAGTCTGCTAAGGAAAGACAGCAACATAAAAATGAACTTGTACTCACTGCTACGAAATCTCAAGGAAAAACTTAGCAGAGTCCTTCAAATTAGATTATTCTACAAATCATAAGATTATAAACTGGTGCAGTATTTGGCAGAATAAAGATTATGTGCTTGCAGGCTCCGTGCCACATACAGGCATTAGGCACATTTAGTTGGGCAGGAATGTCTCCCTCCAGGAAGATAATTTTTTTATAATCATTCATGATAGGGGTTTTTTACCCATTTCTAGAATGCTCACTGCTAGTTTATCTAGTCCACTAAATCAAGTAGGATTTTTCTGGTCTTACTTTATGAATATCCACAATTGTCTCTTTCCTTCCTATCCCCTTTGCGGCACCAGCTTTTTATTAGAAAGTTAATAAACTTTGTGTATGTTCTAAAGATAATATTGAAAACTGCAAAATTGTGTTCTGCATTTTATAATTGGTGTGGAAAAAAGGAGGAGATCTAATCCTATTGGGCCTTCTTTGCTCTCTTTTGCTCTCTCTCTCCCTTTTTCCCCTTTGATGGTAAGCAGCAAATTTTAATTAGCTTCATTTCCACAATTCAGTCATGCATATGTAATCTTTGTTCACACTTTTATAAAGTAAAATTAAGTGAAAGAAATTGGGTAATAATAGAAAGCTTGTCTGAGCAGAACAAATGTGAATTATCAAACATAAGGAAAGATGACTGGGACTACGGGGCTTGAAGTTGTGCAAGGTTTGAGGTGATTTTTCTAAAACAGAACTGCATAAATAATGCATAGAAACAGGTGCTGATTATCCTGTTTTGGGCATCTTTTGTTCATTATGTACTTGGGCTGCTGAGGTACAGTGATAACCAGTGAATGTGAGGAGACTGCTTAATAACAGCTTTCTAATGTTTCTCTTTTATCATGAGCTGAAAATGTCACATGAGCTTGTCTAGTTAATAAAAATCACTTTGTGAACCCACTGTTCTTAGATTTGGTGTTGGAGCAGATTGCTGTACTGGGCCACTCTCTTGATTATAGCTGCAAAAGTTGTTCTGCCGTTTTGCATTGTAATTTAAAGGTTTCCTAATCCATATACACACCCTCTAATTAAATGTTTCCAGGGGTTACCTTGGGAGCCTTCAGTGCTATGGTTTGAAACTAAAACTAAAGAGCGCATTAAATTCATTCTCCCTGGGGTGAGACACAAGAGAGGGAAGTATGTTTTCATCCCCTGCTACTTCTGATTATTAGAAAGTATGAGCATAATTGGGACTACTAACTTCACTCTTTTTTGTTATTTGATGTGAGAAGATGGAAATTTAAAGGCAGACAATCAATGTGTCTAAATCTGGAGTTCGATTTATAACTTCTGAGAAGATTCATCAGCAGGAACTAAAAAACAGAACCTTCTGTTGAAGTAAATTGGTCCATAGCCACAGAAGCTGCATAACAGACACCACAGCACAGATGCTGAAGTCTTCATTAAAGGATATGTAAAGTAGTGAGGTGTGTTGGTGTCACTGCATAGAGAAGTAAAGTCTGGAGCCCAGTTAATGTTAAACTTATGAGCAGATATTTTCCCCTCAGTGCTTGTTCACACACGCAGCCTCACCCCACCAATCTAACAGGTTTAGGAGAAGCACCTTTTTTTGTCCCTGAGAAGGAGCTCTTATTACAGGAAGTGATTTCAGACTTGGGCATTTTTTTTTTTTTTTCCCCTAACTCTCCTTTGCTACCAGTGACTGGGAACAAGCAAGATTTAAGTTAATGGTTAACATGGCTACACAGAAATTCTGACTTCCTCCTACTGAGGTCAGGACAGAAAACTGCCTCTGCTCGCAGAGGAAGAGACGAGAGCTGAGCAAAGAGCAGTTCACATCACAGAGGGGCTGGAGAGCAGTAGCTTCACGCAATAGAGAAAAGAGGAGGAAAATCCAAAAAGAGCAAGAACTGTTTGCTGTAAAGATTGGTAAGAACCAAGATACTTTCTCTCCCACTTGGATTGCTGACTCAACAGTTGTTGCTAACAAAACCCACAGGTGTGGTGAGTTGAGACGATTTCATTGTACCTGACTGCTTGGACTCGTGTGTATTTGTGTAGGGAGCAAGGTGAGAAAAGATTGATTTGCTGTGGTATCGAACAACAGAGTGGCTTTTCCTCCCTTTTCCTTCTCCTAGAGGTTGCTGATGGCTAAACAGACATCCTCTTCAGACTGTTCTCATCTCATTGACCACAGCCACGTCTCTGAGTTTGAGGTATCTCCTTGGATCAAGATCACTTTGGCCTCGCTCGACATCTGCATCTTTGTGGCGGGCATCTTGGGCAACAGCATCACCATCAAGGCTACCAGGATCCTGCAGAAGAAAGGCTACCTGCAGAAGGAGGTCACGGACCACATGGTGAGCCTAGCCTGCTCTGACCTGTTGGTCATCCTACTGGGCATGCCCATGGAGTTCTTCAGTGCCATCTGGAAGCCCTTTGCCACCCCAAATGGCAACGTGGCTTGCAAGCTTTACTATTTCCTCTTTGAAGCCTGCAGTTATGCAACTGTGCTGCATGTGGCCACCCTTAGTTTTGAGAGGTATGTGGCTATCTGCCACCCCTTCAAGTTCAAGGCAGTCTCTGGGCCCCGTAAAGTGAAGATCCTCATCGCTTTTGTCTGGGGGACATCTGTCATTGTGGCTCTGCCCCTCCTCTTTGCCATGGGCACAGAATATCCACTGGAAATCATTGAGGACTATCAAGGTGCAACTGCCTGTGCCAAGTCAACTGCCAGACACCACCATCCCGAACTAAAGCAAAACATGACAATCTGTACCAGCCTCTCCTCCAAGTGGCCCGTCTTCCAGGCCAGTATCTTCAGTGCCTTTGCAGTGTACATCATAGTGCTGGGGTCTGTTGCCTTCATGTGCCGCAGCATGATGAAAACCCTGATGATCCACAAGAAAGGAACTGTGGCAGTGAAGGGCGAGCCCGGACAACAGGAGCAGTACCTAAGGAAAAGTGAGAGCTCAGAGGGCAAGAGCTCCAGGAGACAGATCATTTTATTCCTGGGTAAGAGACTTCTCACCCCTGCCCTCTTTCCAAAGAAGGGAAGGAAACCCAGGAGCTTCTATCTTAGAAATTTTTTCCGAAGGGGAAAGGAATGCTATTGTTTACAATGATATGTTTTAAGAAACCTGATTTCCCCTGATGTGTTTTTGATTCTTTCTGTTGGTAGAAGAGGTGGGAGGGAACATGGAAAGAAAAATCCATTTACTGTCTAATAGGTACGTTGTCTGATTATAATGTATGCCTGTGTGATGCAGAAGCGGTAACAGGGTATTGATGCTTGACCTGTGGGGTAGAAGTAGGCACAGTTGCCAGGATATAAAGCAGCTCTATTTGCATGTCCACCCATTAAATTACAAATACGTGCATATTTAGTAAGATTCTTGATAAGAGGGAAGACTGGCGTGCAAAATCTAGAGTTTGTCCCACACTGAAGGCAATTACTTACTAACTCAGGGTGCTCTCAGGAGGGCACTTATTTAGCTGGGGCTCTTGTGGCTGTGTTGCATCTGAACATTAAGAAACTGGGCTGGAGAGCTCATTTGGTCTTGCAAATAGCTATTGCCCTCTTTGGGTTTTTTTTTCATGGTTTTATTTGAAGGTCTGTAGCCTTGGAATTATTTGATTCTGATCTCTTTTGCTGCATTTGTCAGACAAAAACTAATCAAGCTGTCATTTCAACAACTTGGAATCTTTCCGGGCTGTGATCCATGCATTCTCCATGTTGATGCTCTTAGAGGCACCCTTAATCATGTCTTGGCTGAATTACGGGTAGTTCTTGTTTTGTTGAGTTGCTCAGTAAGATACTGGATATAATAAATTAGCCATCTTGTGTATAAATGCACAGACCCAGAATTTCTATGCTGCTTTTTGGTGCTCTGCTTGATGTTGAGAGGGGGAGTTAAAACTCGTGGACCTTTGTGTAGATTAGCTTTTTTGTTAGTGTTTTGTTTTGGTTTTTTTGATAGGGCTGGTAACTTGAGAATGTGGGGAAAGGATGGAGCTGTGCTGGCACAGAGTGTGGTGAGGGCTTCATATAGGAGATCATGGAATGGCTTGGGTTGGAAGTGATCTTAAAGATCTCCTACTTCCTTCCCCCCTGTCCTGGGTTGACAGGGATGCCACCCACTAGATCCAACCTGACCTTGAACACCTGAAGGGATGAGGCATCCATAATTTCTTTGGGCAGCCTGTTTCAGAGTCTCATTTCACTCTGAGTAAAAAAAATTCTCCTAATATCTAATTATATCTTCCCTCCTTTAGTTTAAAGCCATTCCCCTTTGTCCTGTCACTGTCTGCCTGGGAGATGTGGCACTTAAGGCTGCACAGAGCTGTTCCTCATGCCTAAGGTTCACTTAGAGAAGCAGTCATCTTGTGCCAGGTGTCTGTGAGTCATGGACAAGAGACCCCATGTCAGGATGACTGAAAGGACTCTTGATATCCTTACTCCCCTGGAAATACTGACTGCTGGGGTAGAAGCTTAACAGCTGCAGCTAAATACAGTACGTTGCACAGATGAAAAAGAGATAAGGCTTTGCTCTTTAAATCAAGTGCTACTGTGGGATCCTTAAATGTCTGTGGATCTGGCTGCTCTTGTAAATTATCATCCACAGCTACATGAAAGTCTTAAGGTCCCAACTCTGTAGAAGTTCTGGCCAGGCTGAGAGGTGAAGGCAAGTTACTGAGGCTTTTCTTCCCCTCCTTGGCTGTTGTTCTTGCTTGGTGACAGTCCATTGTAGAATGGAGCAGACCCACTGCTGCTTGTGGAAGTGTTAAGAAGCTAAATGAAAGCAACCAGCTTGTCCTCTGTCTTGAGGGAATTTGACACCAATATTCGATGCTTTCTCAGCTTTTTGGAACAAGTAGATACTTCTGTGAATTCCCCAAAACTATTTCAGGCATCTTTCAAATGGCTCTTAATATGAGTCTTGCTAATTAACTTCTGTTGGGAAATAAATTAATAAACTGAAGAGGAAGAAACTGTAGCCTGCATCCCTGAGAACAATGCAAAGCAATTTAATTTGGAGATCTCATAAGAGTGATGCTTTAGGGCAGTTTTAACCCAGAATAAATGAACATATAAATTGTTTACAAATCGCTGAATTTAAATATAGTGATTTAGAAGTCCTCTTTGTTTTTCGTTTAACAGATGGGTCAAATTAAAACAAATATTTGCTCATTTACAACATATTTCACTTTTAATGTGAAATGTGAATGACAGCATATAGCAAGATGTCTTTGAACATCTAACAGCAATAAAAACAGTTTAGCATTTTCTAGTTGTTAAAAGAGGTAAGTTCAACAAAACAGAGATTAAACTCATAAATCTCCTTACGATGAGAAAAAGCCAAGCAGAGAGAGACATGAGATGGAACTGGTGCTTTTTTATTGTCACGTTATTGTGTGGCACTTTAGAAAATTCATGAAAATGAATTGGAAATGTTGAAAGTGAAAGACTGCTTGCCCTGGGTAATACTGAGGCTTGCAGGACCAGCTGCAGATGGGCTGACACAGCTGTGGTGAATGAGGGTGACAAGGGGCCAAGCAAGGTGATGGGCAGGCTATGCTCACCTGGGGAAGGGCTTGTGAAGGTCAAGTCCTTGGAGAGGCTGGTTGAGGATTTGAAGTGTTTTTTAGCTATGCTCATGATAGAGAGGAGGAATTGGTACAAGAACTTTACACCCACTGTTGTAGAGGAAGTACTTCTAGAGGCAGTTCAGCTCAAATTTTGGTAGATTCCCTCCACTGGAGGAATGCAAAATTGTGCCACTGTTTTGGAGAAAATCACTTTTGCTTTTATAAATTAGGCTGTGCAGTGCTATTGTTTCCAGCTTCTTTCTCATTACTGCTCTTGGCAGTAATATATTGTAGATATAATAGCACGTGTAAGTCTCTGCATAATATTCCTGCTCCTGAAATTATGCATTTCATGCTTTTGGCTAGACCAGGGCACGCTTCCTGTAGTCTGTGGCTGTGATTTTTTTTACTCATCTTCTGAGTGAGGTGGCAAAACCCCTTTGCCTGCAGTGGATCAGCCCATCCTGTGAAGGGAGCAGATCTGACCGGTAAGCACTGAGTGAGTTAAGGCAATCTGTAAAAGACAGAACCAACCAGCAGTGTTGGTTCTTAGCTGAAACAATGCAAGTTAAAACTCTTGAAGAGTCATTATCAGGTGGCTGCTTTCTGGGAAGGGGGATGGGATGGGACAAGCCTCCCTACCCCTTTAAATCCCCTCAGCAGGGTTTGCTTTGGCACCAGCTGCTGTGTGCCAACACTTCCTGCTGGCACTGGTGTCACCAAATTCCTTCCTAACCTGCTCACTAGTACAAAGCCTTCATACAACAGCAGTTTGTCATCAGGCTAGATCTGACTGACCTGGACTCATACTCTGCGATGAAGCAAGTTTTGACTGTCTCAAATGAAAAATTTATTGCTTCTGAAGCTTTTGTGGTATCTCTCTTGCCAGCTTTAGTTTTGTGCTTCTGCTGAAGGCCTAAGTTATATTGTATGAGGCAGCTTCAGGCCTACCACAGTAAAAAAACTGAAATAGAAAAGTACTTTAGTGTTGCTATAGCCACTGCTTTTCTCTGTGTATGCTTCCATTTTGCCTTTTGGAACAGTGCTCTTTGCTGTTAGCACAGCAGAGGGGTTCTGCTACACGAGGTGCTAGGTGCTGTAGATACTTTGCCATTTGCCAGCCAGCAGCTGAGCAGTGTCTCTCTGTATCCTGGCCATGCAGAGAGACATCTGTCCATCTTGAGCTTCTTCTTTCAGAAGAGAGAAGTACTGAAGTAATCCAACTGCTCTGAAATGGTTGCAGTAGATGCAGTCAGCAGGAGCTCAGCTGGAGCTACTTAACTGAAGACCACAGCTGAACCTGCCCATAAGCTAAAGCTAGATAAAACTCAGAGTCAAAAACTTAAAAGATCTCTTAGAACATAAGCTGGAGCACAATTTTCCCCTATATTCTAGTGCTGGCAGATTAATGTTTTGCTCAGAAAAAAGGTATTGTGTGTAGAAATAGCCTTTCTGAAGATCACTATGGAAATGTATTTCACAAGGCACTTGGCAATTGGATTTTCAGGAGGACAAATTACTTCAAATACTCTGCAAAAAATACATGGTTGCCACAGTATATCTTGACAATGGTGGGACTTCTGGTACAGGAAAATTAGATGCTTCTTAATAGGCTGGAAATTGACTTTTTTTTTTTTTTTCTTTAGTGAGAAAGGTAAAACTTGGGGATAGAATAAAATTGAAAGAATAACCTAATTGATTAGATTCCAGAAGAACACAGCTCCAGCCCATGTTCTTTAAGCTCAGCTTCATTGACTCCTCTCGGTTCATTTCTTTAGTCATTCCACTCAGCTGCCTTTCTTCAGAGGCTTTGTTGGAGGGGTGCCTGAAGATAAATACATTGTAGGCTGTATATGATTTTCATCTTTGTGTTTTATGTGGTGTCTTCATCCATATACTCCCCTGAGCAAGGTTTCAAAATACATAAGACAGGCAGGAAGCTGTGTGCTCTGAAAAGAAGCAGGGATGGAGCAGACAACATGAGGCACTAGGACCAAAGGACTGGGCTCTGGACATTCAGCTGAATGAGACACCCACCCTCTTTTGCAAGCAAGATTTTTGCTTTAAGCGTTGCTTTCTGGAAAGGAGATCAAAGCAAGGGATTTTCTTAGTGGTGTTCAGGAACATTTGAGTTTCTTTTCTGCAAAAGTATTAACCTGGACCAATTCGGTACAACCTACTCTGACAAACTGTGAGATTTCTGTTCATTTAAAGAAAAATACAACAAAACATAAACACAACCACAGGAAAATACACTCAAGGCAAATTTCCAGTCAAGATATTTGGATATTTTCAATTTTTCCACACTAATTTACAAAATGAACATAAGCGGAAACAAGTTTAATTTTCCTCCCTATTGTAGAGAAAGTAATTTATGTGCTGCTGCTTTTGACTGGACTCATGTACTAGGAGACTGTGCTTTTGACTTAAATAGACAGTCTTCCTCTCCTCTTACACTGAGGGATGGCAAAATGCAGCAGAAGGAAAAGGGATATAAGAATGGGGACTAATTGAGGCCAGAACCCCCAGGGTATCTAAGACTTTTTGTAGTTTTAATGGAAAAATCAATATGTGATTACAGTTTGCTTCAGAGTACTTAAAAATTGCTTCAAAGTGAAGTCTGCAGCTTTAAAAACAACCTAACCTGGAAACGCTGTACTCAGAGAATCAAGTTCATCACTAGAATAATCCATATAATTCTCTATATGTGATATCCTCACAGTCTCTGTGGGCATGCAGCTACTGTCTTTGCTTCTGTGAATGAGAAGCCTGTGAGGACAATGGATGCTTTAGTGGTGCTTAGTGAAAATCACAGCCATACTTCTGTCTTTCAGCTGATGCCTGCAAGGTAACAGGTATTTCACCTGGTCTGACAGTGAGCTGTAGATGTTGGAGTCCTGCTTCAGCCCAGCTCGTCCTGCGGCACACACAGCATGAGCATCTTTATGTTCTGCCATCTGTGTTGTCCAGAGGCTAAGTGAACAGCTGAGTTTTCTTAAGTACTTCTGTGCTGCACTTGCCTTTGCCCAAAGTCTTTAAAGGTATTAACCTTATTAAAGACAGCTACTTGGCCCTTAACTTATTCATTATTTTCTCCCTTATTATTATTACCTCTCTTCTGTCTCCTTCATAAACTATAGATAATACATTTGTGTATCTTCTCCTCATACTTTGGTAGCTGAGTCTCCTGGCACCCCTGGTATACGCAGGAAAAGGAAGGTGGATGTTGGGATTTCTGCATTTGGGGAGCTGAGTTCTGGATGTCTTAGCTTCTGGAAAAATCCACTCCAGGTCACAGCAACGCCTCTCTAGGATGTTTGCTCACAAAACCTTGGGAACTGCCTTGTTCTCCAAAGAATGAGTAAAAAACCAGGAAGTTTTGTTTCTGTCAAAGTGGAGAAATAC